CTGGGAATTTATGAATATTGATAATGACATTTCCTTAATGCAATGAGGGACTGAATTACCGATGTTGAAATATGATCTGTTGGTACTGATTTTGATGAAAAATGTGAGGTGTGTACTAGGTACCTTGGGTTGACCTCTGTTAGATTTGTTTATTTCATGATGTAATCATCAATTCTTTATTTTTGGCGAATATTTTTGTCATTTTTGGTAAAAAATGCTATTTCCGACTTCTCCGTCAAAAGTACAAGCTCAATTCTTTGATACTCGGATTGTAGATACCCTAGGTAAAACTCTGTAAGGTTTGTTTATTTCATGACGATATCATCAATTCTTAATTTTTGGCGAATATTTTTGTAATTTTTGGTAAAAAATGCTAATTGCGACTTCTCCGTCAAAAGTACAAGCTCAATTCTTTGATACTCGTTTTGTAGGTACCCTAGGTAAAACTCTGTTAGATTTGTTTATTTCATGACGATATCATCAATTCTTTATTTTTGGCGAATATTTTTGTCATTTTTGGTAAAAAATGCTATTTCCGACTTCTCCGTCAAAAGTACAAGCTCAATTCTTTGATACTCGGATTGTAGATACCCTAGGTAAACCTCTGTAAGGTTTGTTCATTTCATGACGATATTTTATATTTTCTGTTTTTTTGGCAAATAGTTTTGTAATTTTTGGTGAAAAATGATATTTTTGAATTCTTCTTATTGATATTTGAGGTGTACATTATTTTTGTGAAAATTTTTTTTTATGAGGTTAAGTTAACATGTTCTCCACAGCCATAACCAAACTACAACAGCACGTTTAATAGTCTGATTTGACTTTTCCTTGACTTTTCTTTTTTTTTTATATCCTTTTCATCTCTTCTTCCGTTATGTGTTAATAAAATTAATATTAATTATTATTGAAGACATATTGTCTATTGCAGAATGTTTGTATAAGTGAAATTTGAATTTATCATCCACAAAAATACAGAAAAATGAAATACGGTAGACCCATTTCATACCCTTGGCTAGAAATGTTTGTGGCATTATAAATGTGGGTTGAAATGTCTGTGATTTCATAATTTTATAGAATTTGTGAGGACATTGTGATTTCCATGACTTGTGGAATTTGTGAAAATGTGTCTCACAAAGTGGCGTATGCTACTCAAGTTAAAGCTAATTTTTAGTTAAAAATAAATGACCGTGTATGCACTATACATGTTTTGTTAGCAAAAGGTTTTGGTAGAGATTAATATCTATGGCATTACACTATCTTCTTTAAAATATAGTGTAGCAGTCAATTTGGATCAGTAATATAATAACTAAAATTGTGTTATTTGTAAATAGAATAGATACTTAATACTTGAATGTACTGGGTGATTATAATAATTTTCCTGATTACAAATACAATTCTCACCATCTGTTCTGTTTTAGTTCATTCTGTATGCTGCAGATGAGCCATTACCCAAGGTTTTCTAATCTCTGAACTGAATCATGATTTCCCTGAATTTAATTGCTATTCAAGTCTATTCCCAATGATAATACAATTGGCCTTGCAGGTTATCACTCAAATTTAAAGTTCACTGATTTTAGTAAACCTTGACAGTCAGTACGGATAATCTCCCTCTTTTAACAGTTATGAAGTTTTTATCCTTTGAATGCCAAATTTTCAAGTCAACTTTTTATAAAATAAATCTCCATAATTTTTTCCTTTTTTTCAAAAAAATACATCAAGAGTTGTAGTGAATAGGAAATTATTCCTATTTGACACAAAATTTATGAAAAAATTAAAGAAAAATGTGCAAAATGCTGCTGTTCAAGGGTTCAATCCATACTACATATTCTATTTTATAAATAGATTCATAAATTAACCCCCTAGCCCCATTATGTACGCATCAATACTAATAACACGCAGAATTCAAGAAAAAGTATTTAATTTTGCACAAAACAGACATGATGTGACATTAGTTACAGATTTGATTTTAATTAATTTGATTTGAAAAAATTGCCAATTTTTGCGAGGTCAACTTGGAAGTAGTTGGCAATGGGCAATAAAACATGTTATCACAAAGTCAACAAGATGCCCTCAATAAAGTTAATAGTTCTTTGAACTATAAACTTTATAGAGCCTGTGTTTGAAATAAAGTATTGGGCTAATATGATCATGGTTTTTGGTTTCTCACATTTTATTTTTGTTCATTCTTCATAAAACAGCATAAAATTATGTTAAAAATTGAATGAGAAAGATGTTAAGTATCTTGGTTTTGTTACCTATAAATTATTCTGGAATTCACTACTGCAATTTTCATCAAAGAAGACAAAATACAATATTTTGAAAAAGACAAATGTTTATTGACTCCCGTGTGCGAAGCACAAAAAGGGAGTCTTTGCAGTTAGTGTGTCTGTATGTGTGTGTGTGGGTGTGTGCGTGTGTGTGTGTGTGTGTATGTGTGTGTGTGTGTGTGTGTGTGTGTGTATGTGTGTCCGTCTGTTCCACTGATATCTCAAGAACCATACATATGTTTTTGATGAAACTTGGTGCATAGATGCTCTGGGCCAATGTGCAGATTTGATTAGGTTAATTACCTAATTTGCATGATAATTAGCTGATTTGTAGCTGTTCCATGACTGTTCCACTGATATCTAAAGAACCACTCATTGGATTTTGATAAAACTTGACACACAGATGCTCCAAACTAATTTGATTAGTTTTGGGTAAAAATCTGTGCAATATTAATTACCTAATTTGCATAATGATTAATCAATTTTCGGCTTTTCCACTGATATCTCAAGCACTAATCATCACATTTCAATAAAACTTGGTACATAGGTGTCATAGGACACTGCACAAACCTGATAGTTTTTAGGGTAATATCAGTATATATTAATTAGCTAATTTGCCTAATTAATTAATTTTCAGCTTTTGATATTTCAAGTAGTAATCATCACATTTCAATGACACTTGGTACATAGATGTCACAGGACACTGCACAGACCTGATAGTTTTTAGGGCAATATGAGTACATATTAATTACCTAATTTGCATAATTAATTAATTTTCAGCATTTGATATTTCAAGTAGTAATAATCACATTTCAATGACACTTGGTACATAGATGTCATAGGGCACTGCACAGACCTGATAGTTTTTATGGTAATATGAGTACATATTAATTACCTAATTAGCATAATTAATTAATTTTCAGCTTTTGATATTTCAAGTAGTAAT